GTCGCACTGCCTTGCACTATGCTGCGTTCCAGGTTCGTCATCTCGCACAGACAGGACGTATTTGTCAGTCAAAATTAGTTTTTAAATATCCTTTCAGTGTATCTGTGGCACTCGTAGCAACAATCGTGTGGGTCAGTGCATCAAATCAGCATCAGGTCAGTCATACAAATACAGGTGGCGCACGAAAACCCAGCCCGCTCTGAGTTGTCACAACAACAAGTAGTGGTGCTACAACAACACGTACATTCTCGCACAATATAAATTATACGTGATATTATAATACCTCAATACATCTGCCCATAGTTACACATCTCAATTATCACTTGTAAAACTCATTATAAATCGTTGAACAATCGATGCAAAAACTAACTACTTTAAAGCTAATATATCAAAACAAATTCGACAATTAAAAGTGTATTTTAGCCTTACAAAGTGCACCGACGAAGGATATTGTGGGGGTTAGACCTTGAAGGTCGTTAAGAGTAAACCTTTATTAATACGCGAAAACGAAGGATTTATAAATAAATTTATAAATAACGAGAAAACTAAAACCCACAAAACGTGTATTGCGACTACACCGTGTTAGAGGAAGTATTTTACTACATATATAGGAATATGAATTATCCACTTATTCGTTACCAGAGCCCGTCAATGAGAGTTTTTCTGTACAAAATTCGCCGTACCGGCCGTTCGGCGTTCCGGCGCACGATTATAATAATTTTTCTTCTTTCGAAGTAAGGTCGCGAAACTAACAAAAGGCATTTAAGAAAGATCTTGTACAATTGTTTAAAAAATTAGTACTTTTGCGTAATTTGTGGTTGAAATTAATGCAATCTGTTTTAAAAAAACGTTTTTGCCACAACCTCTCCACACATATTTTCGTCATTTTTTTCCACGAAAGGAATGCTTAAAAGAATGACGCAGAGCTAATTTTCTTTGCGCTCTCTGAATTGTCAAAAATTGCGAATGTAGAAATAATGCGAGGAAGTATGTACTGTTTTGGTACCACTAGTTTGTTGATGGTACCATTTCTCATGGACGTCGTCTTCTTCGGAACCACACTTACTTCCCATATTCGCACTGGATGCATTTATGAACATGAAAACATTTTTAAAACTTTGACTATGTACGACCGCCATTGCCCTTACTGCTCTTCCCCGCATCCTTCCGTACTTGACCAGTCTAGGTTCTAGCTGTCCTCTTCCACCCCTGAAAAACTTTTTCTCACTTCCAGTTCTTCTCAGAAACACCTTACATACCGTTTTAATCAGCGCGTCCGCTGAAAAACATGTTCCAGGGGCTAATCTCACAATTCGTCTAAATTTAAAAAAAAACGATGTTTTCGGGTGCACGATTACAACACTTTCTCTTCTTACGTTAGAAAGTGCGAGAAAGTAAAAATTGACTTTTGTTTCTGATTTATTTCGGAAATAAATAGTTTCTCTATCAATATTTGATACTTTGTTACAATATAAATTTACTTATACGGAGGGATCTAGGTATTTGAATGGCCATATAACATAAGATTAAACTTTTCTATAATAAGTATGTATTTCTTCAATACATGTCGTTGAACGATTCACAAATCTAAACCAAAACCAGGATTTTTTTACGGGCTGGGGCGAAAACGACTACTTGCGTTACTAATGGTTGTAAATTTTACTTAATTGTTTCGTCCGTCTCCGTCCCAGAACATCGTACGAAATGCAATATGACTATGTCTTGTGAGGTTTGCAAAAAATGAAAGTGGATTAACAAGGAAGCAGGTAAACTGGAGGGGTAGATTCAATCGGGGTATGTCTTGTGACATAATTAAAATTAAAGGGGATTTAGAAGTGTGTGTGGGGGGAGGGTGCAATGGCGCTTCCCAGCCACGCGCGTGCGCCGCCTCGGTCGCAGAGCCACGAGGAGGCGCTGCGGCTTCTGCTGGGCGACGGCCGCACGGACGTGCGCGCCGTGGACAAGGAGGGCAGCACGGCGCTGCACTACATGGCGTCGCCCTCCTGGACCATCCTGGACACGGAGCCGCACCTGCGCTGCATTGCCCTGCTCATGGGACACCCCGCACTTCGAGGTGAACCCCCCGACGGCATCGGCCAGACCGCCATCACCACCGCCGTGCTGCTGCATTACACGCGCATCCAGGTACGCCCACTTGCGCCCAACGCGCCCAACGCGTCCCCTAGGCCCCCTCGGGCGCCCCCTCGCGCCCCTCGCGCCCCCTCGCTCCCCCTCGCGCCCCGCCTCGCGCCCCCTCGACGGCCCACTCGCGTCCGCACCGGTCGCCTCGCCCACTCGCGCCCACTCGCGCCCACTCGCGCCCACTGCGCGCCCATCGCGCCACTCGCCCCACTCGCGCCCCACTCGCGCCCCACTCGCGCCCACTCGCCGCCCCCACTCGCGCCCTACGCGCCACTCCGCCCACTCGCGCGCCCACTCGCGCCCACTCGCGCCCACTCGCGCCCACTCGCGGCCCACTCGGCGCCCACTCGCCGACCCACTCCGCCCACTCGCGCCCACTCGCGCCCACTCGCGCCCACTCGCGCCCACTCGCGCCCACTCGCGCCCTCGCCGGTCTAACACATTCAGCTCGGGCCTCTTCGGGTGTTTTCTTGAGGCACAACGCTTTCCATTCGATATTTATTTAATGTGGAGGTTGAGGAGATTTTGGGGAGTGTTTTAAGAATCAAAATGTAGCTTTAAAATTATATCCATACAACTTTATTAGGGAACCCATTATAACCGAAACCTATGATTTTGCTTATATCTTCTTAATTGGATTCATGTAGTTTGCTTCGAAAAAATATGGCAGACGCACAATCCGCTCTGCTCTGCTTACTAGTATATTGTCTTTCTAGCGAATTATATGTGAATTTGTATTTATATTTGTATTTACCTATTATATGTCACGTAAATGGCATTTGGCCTCGGCTCTGTTAGATTCCGGGGTTCTTAGTCGTTACCCAATCAGAAATCGAATTCGCTTAACCTTCGTGACTACAAGGAGTCGGCTAGTGACGCGGGATTCGCGGTCGTGACCTTTGAGAAGAACAATCCCAGCATTCTTCTAGATGAACGAGGGAAACTACGTTAACCCCGGTCAGGATGGCCCGGGTTATACTTTAGTAATGATAATTTATTTTTACTATGCAGAGAATCTGTTCTTTTCCATCGGACAAGTTGTTTTGAACAGGTTATTCTAATTTAATTTTCATATTAATTTTCAAGCATAGGTCTACGTTCAATCTTTTGATGTCATTAATGAGCTCCGTGGTTTAGCCATGCATAAAGCTCATCTACCTATGATCTAGCATAACGGTCGAATTTCTGTGTCATTTGATAATCAGAACACACCAACAGGCAGTCAAGAGTGGGACTCAGAATAAATTGCAATATAATTGATAGAAGATTTTATTTTATAATAACTAATGAGACTCGTTTGTAGTGTGATGTCAGATTGTTGACGTGGATACAAGGTTAATCATCGGGACATTAGTTTCGTTCCCTCTCAGTTATTTTCACCTTTTTACACATTATTCATACCTAGCTACTGAGTTACTGAATGTTAAGGTGATGATGCAAAAGCATATTTAGATTTCCTCGACAACTAGGTCATTTTCTGAATTAAATTTAGGTACAAAAAAGGACGAAAGATCGTAATGCGCAAAATGGTCCATGCAAACTAAACTACTTTTACGTAAATTATAATTATCAAGCTTTTTTCTCAACTCCTTTAGGATTTAAACGTCTCTTACACATAGCATTGTCCTTCCGTCAGCGTTGGGGCAGGTACCGTAAGCGTGTGTCATGAAAGCGCAGCAGACGGAACGGGAAGGCAGGCGGCCTGAAGCAAAGCCCTGACGTGACCCTCGCCTCGCCCTCCAGCCTCACAGCTGCCGCCTCGGGGTCATTGGCCCAAATGCTCCCAGTCATCGGCGCCCGGGCAAAGGCCTCCGACGTCACCGCGCTGCCTCCGCCGGGAAATGGTCTTTCACCGCGGTCGCCACTTGCATTTCCCATTTTTAACTCCACCGGCGTTCACTCTTCCTGATAATATGTCAATTGCGTAAATGAGTTTGCGTGGCTAGCGCAATAGAAATAGTTCTCTCCACATTAGTTAACCAGTTCAACTATCTGCTTATCGAAGTGAAAACACAAATCACACGACTACTTCCATGACTTCTCACGAGTTGCGACCTGTCCTCCCGCGAACGTCTGACCCTCGCCACTCCTCACTAGTTTCTCCCGTCTTCCACAAACTCCGACTTCTAGCCTCACTATTCTCCCCACTCCGTCATTTTTGAAAAAAAATCCCGCCTTTTCCTATCTCAGCCAATGATTTCCTTCCTTCCAGTGAGCTCGGAGATCTATCTTATAAATTGGTTAACTGGAGTGAGGTCAATTTTGACTTTGTTTGCGTAGCTAATATAGCCGTTTAGTGGCTAGTTTCCTAGAATGTATCGATTTATTGCCTTCCTAATAGACGCATCATACAACTTTCCTATCAGAAGTAAAAGCTTCATCTATTTTATCCAACACCGTAGTTTAGCAACCAGACTAGATGCAATAGAAGCATCGTACAAACTAACTTTATCAACTACCAGCAATCACTGCATCATGCAACATTCTCATCGAAGAACTACACGACGGTGACCGTCAACTTTTCTCGAAAATTAACATTTCAGGTCACAAAACGCTGTGTAAATGTTATTTTTCACACCTAGATTTCAGCAATAATGTAGAAAAAATACAATTTTTTTTAAAACCACTTCTTTTCATAAAAAAAATGAAAAAAAATTGAAGAAAATTGATAGAATAAAAAATTGGAAAATAGCAAAATATGTAAAATATGGAGTGTACTACTAAATATGTACACATGTGTAGCGAAAAAATGGATATTATGTAAGGAGGGCGACGATTCGCCACAATTACAGTTGTGAGAAATGTAAGTAGAAAGCAAAAAGCGCGTGCCGTGCGCAGGTGATGCTGGAGCACGGGCGCGAGCGGCTGAACCTGGACTGCTCGCGCGTGAGCAACGGCAAGTCGGTGCGCGAGATGATCCGCCAGCGCTTCCCGGAGCTGGTGCGCTTCCTGCCGCCGCGGCGCCTCGAGAGCCTGGCGTCGCCCGACCCGCACGTGCAGCTGCTGGCGGCGCTGCAGCACCGCGACCTGCCCGTCTTCCGCGCGCTGCTGCACCACGACGCCGTCGACCCCAACAACTGGTGAGTCCGCTCAACGGCGCGCGCTCGCGCACGCGCGCACACGTCTGCACTGATGCGTTTAGAGGCGGTGTTCCTCTCCAACTCGAGTGGGAGGTGGGTTTCCCTTCTCCAGGTATCGCCACATGTAGGGAAACTCCCCACCCGAAGTAAGCTTTATGCGTGCTAGTGCTTGTAAGTATGTGTGTGTGTGTGTTAGAGGAAAAGAGGGGAGAAGAGAAACACATCACATGACCGTGAACCGTTTGGTAGAGTAAAATTCCGGTATTATACTGGTATTGCTCAGGGAAACAATGGAAAACGATCACACCAGCCGGCCGCTAGAATCCTTTTTTAGACAGCGATTGAATTCGTCTTAACAATCTAGCTAAAGCCAAAAATCCGCCGCCGACTGGACTCCAAACTCAGGACCGGACAGACTCACTGCAATGGTAACAGTTGTCAATAAATAATTTTATACCATCAAAATGATTGATTGAACGACTGATTAGAGATTCCGGGCGCATCTACCGCTAATGCCAATTCTCCCAAAAGCGTAGTGCATGTTTTTAACACCGGGGGTGACTTCTCACGCTGGAGGGTGAGATCCGGCGCAGACCTTTATGTCGGCTTGCGAGATCTCCCAACCAGGTATCTCCCACGAGCCGCTTCAGCCGTGATACGTTGTAAGTTCCTGGCACGTATGGTAGTGCCGTGAATGTAGATGTGAACGTGTTTCAGGGCTGACGATAGGACAAGGAACAGGAAAGAGAGATGGCGCGCAGTCCGTGGCCCGTTTGAGAGGGTACTGCACCGGTATTTGCCTGGTGTTGTTCGGAGAAACTGCGGAAAACTACCGCGCCATCTCCAAGTCGCGGATCGAGACACAATTTCGAACCACTCAGGTTTTAGGTTTGAAACTTTAACTTGTTTGCGACCATATATCATATCTCTATATCATATATCACTACACGCATTTTAGGACTGGGTTTCTTCGTGGACACTAAATCTGAAGCCACATATATGTGAAACTAAGATATCTTCATTATGGCATTTCAACAACCACCACTTACCCAAATTAACAACCCAAATTCCTTAGGAATCTCTCGCATAAATTTATATAATGGAGTGTTTATAGACATTTGACTAACAAGGAAACTGAACATGTTAAATAAATCTAAGAAGGCAATTTATTAAACCTCAAATTATTTCTTAAAACAGATGTCATCCTTTTACTTTACAAAACTGTTAAACGTCCTTTACAGAACTTGCATATGTATGATCTAGTGTTGAGCAGAGCTGCTCATTGGGTATAGAAAATTCTTCAGGCTTTTCAAAACAAAATACTTCACACTGATGTAATAGCGCTGTAATAAATTTCTAAGAAACAATTACACAGAGATGAACTTACCATACTACATTTCTTTGCATTAAATAGAACTTTTATCTTAACAAAAACTCATGTGCATCGCAGAATTATCCATTTCAAATTTCCGAAAGATAAACCCAAACCTCAAATTTAAAAAAAACATGATTACCTTTCTTCATGTACCGTTTTTGATTCGGTTTCATTGTATATTCCCCGTTCTCGATTCCTAGAAATTTTATAAATAGTAGTCAATTTAGAATTAATGGTATCAGTTGTCATAATTGTTCATTTCAGCGCTGATCTGACGTCATGTAGCCATTAGTTCCTTCTGTCAAATGGACCAAATGGATAGCTTATAACTAATTTTCGAATGACATGAAGGTGGGGCCAGCTGACCATGCTACCCCGTAGGAAGGGCTCCAAACATCGAACAGTATGAGTGTAATAACTGTTCAATGATATCTTACAAACAAACGCACTTGTTATTAATTTACATTTAGTTCAATGTCAAAGGATGAGTCAAACAAAAATGCCTGGATGATGGCAGCGTCGTACGTACCGCTGTGTGTTCACGTGTGGGAACGCCGGGCGCAGGTACGACGACCCGTACTACTGCACGTGTCTGGAGCTGGCGTGCAGGCAGCACCGCTCCGAGAACTTCGTGGCGGCGCTGGTCGAGGCCGGCGCCGACCCCAACACCAGCAACCGCATCTACGGCATCCCCGTGGTGCACCAGGCGACGGAGAACGCCAACCACCAGGCCTTGGCCGTGCTCATCCGCCAGGGCCGCGCGCGCCTCGACGTCACGGACCGCTCCAAGCACACGGCGCTGCACGTGGCGGCGCAGAAGCAGTGCGCCTCGCAGGTGACGCAACACGGCGCGCCGAGCCCCACCTCCAACACAGTACTAGCGGGGATTTTAAAAGCAACCAATGGCCAATCACTTTGGTACAAGTCTAGCTACGGATACGCGAGGCATTTTTTTTTCAAACTCAATTACACCTTCATCGTGTTGCTTTTAGTTGGAAATTGTTACTTTATGCCACTTCAAAATGTTTCTCATCACTTTTCGATCTCCATGCAACATGACGGCCAGCGTCTAGTGTGGTTTTTCAAACGAAGAGCCCGTGTTGTGGACGAGAGGTTCGTGACGTAAATTGGAGCTCTGCAAACGACCAAAAATCAGTGCACCGGATTAGCTCACTCACATACATCCTTTAAGATAAGAAATTTATATCAACTGCACGTGGACATAACCCGGAGGCAGCTAATTGCATAAAGATAATACACATAACATGCAAATCATATAATAATATTATTAATAATAATAATATAATAATAATAATGGTACAATAATAATCATAAAAACAACAAAAACAGCTAAGAAAACAACGATAATAATAATAATAATAATGATAATATTATTTAATTCTTAAAACAATAAAATTACGTTAAAAAAAGAAACATCTATAATCAAACTGAGTTTTTGTTCAATTGCACTTCACTGCACTGTGACCCTTTAATCACTCCCTACATTATTTATCTGTTCTACACTGCACGACACCTCAACAAATGCGGATCCCAACAAATTGTTTCATATTCCATTATTGGACGAACAAGCGATAGATAATAAATTTCCTTCGCGTTTGCCGTACTCATTTTTAAGGTGCACATTATGAAGTGAGATCTCCGGGCATTTCCTACAACAAAATCTATACTGACTATAATAATCTATAACATGAACAACCATTCCTGAAGCCGTGTTGGCCATCATAGAGCCATTTTTTGATATCCCATTCTTGCTTAATGTAAATGGCAACTAGATACTCCATACGTTTGCACACCACTGACGTACGACTTACCGGCCTATAATTACGCAGTAGAGTTTTGTCACCACTTTTAAAATTGGCACGACAAAAGCTAAATTTTAATCTTATGGTACTTTAGAATTGTTCATGGATACGTAAAAAATTCTAATTAGGTACGGTAATATTGCCTCTCCTCGTAGTTTATGTCCGTAGAAATGTCGTCTGGACCCCATGACTTAACATTTTTCATAGATTTTACTTTATTCCGTAGAACGTTCACTTTATTATTAAACTGATTTGTAATCAGTTTAAGTAATGAATAGTTTGTATTTCTTTTGAAAACCGACTTGAAATACTTATTAAACGCATTAGCTTTTTTGCCCGATCGTTAGTAATGAGCGTGTTTCCGATCTCAGGAACAACTGGAACACCCTCTTAATTTCCTTTCCTTCTACGAACATATTTATAAAATCCTGTCCACTTATTTCGCTTCCCATCTAGAATATTCTTTAAATATGCTTCTTAAGTTATTTTCTTTTCTCGCTCCAATTCTTTCGAACGATTTTGAAAAATATTCATATGTTCGCTACTGCGTTTTCTCTTATTGCATGCCTTTCTCGGTACCCTCTTCTCCTGATTTTTGCATTGTAGTATTATGGGTCTGGATTATGTTTTAAAATTTTGAAGGGAACAAACCTTTGCAAAGCTTTGTGTATAATATCTTTGAACGCTCCACATATTTCTTCCATACCTATCTCGGTGCTCAGAAAGCGATTGTATTGTTCCCTAAAAAACCTTGAAGGCCGTCTACATTTGCTTTCTTGTATTGTCGTATTTTTGTTCCTATCGTGATGGCTTTTCTTGAAACATTTTCGTTCAAGTCACGAATAACCCCTTTGTGATCGCTAATGACCGCAACAACTTCACAAGATCTGAAAAGTTATTTTGGCCTAATTAACATATCCAACATAGCATCCTGCCGCGTACCGCTCCGAACTACTTGAGTTAATCCCCTGACCCAAACTAGTCTATTCCGAAGTGTTTAGTCATTCCCCTCGCTCACTGTTCCCTCCCAATTTGCTCGAGGAATATTCACGTCACCTCCAATAACAATGGGTTGGTCATTCTCGTTTCGTGTTTTCTGAATGATGTCATCTAAAATGTCGAAACCGTTGCTCGGAGGCCAGTAGCATGCAATGCTTTCTAATAGGGTTACCGAAGTAATAATTTCTATTCTCATCATTTCAAACTCTATACTGACCCAAACTAATCTAATACCCATGCCTGCTTTGACGCAAACAGAAACTCCGCCCCCTCTACAATTTCTATCCCTCTGTAGATCTTGTAATGAGAATGAAAAATTTCAGAGGACCCGATTTCCTCAGTTAGCCATGACTCTGTCCCTATCACTATGTCGGGATCACAGCCATCAACCAGATTCCAAAGACAAAGTGTTGCAATAGTGTCCACAATATGAGGTGCATACAATAATAAGGATCTGCCTTAGTTTCTAAATGACGTAAACGTTTTATGAAGTCATTGAAATTTACTCCTTTAACATTGAAAATACAATAAATGCATTTGTATTTCATCGGCCTACAGGCCACATAAAGAAAGCATGGTTTTAATATGATTCAGTTCCGGATTTCTGCAATATTTTACAACTATCTATCAAATATCGATTTTAAAGGAACCGAAAGGAAAGAATGGATTCTGGAATAGAATCGCAGGAATTGATACGTAGCTAGAGACGACCCGGGCGGTGCGACGGAGAAATACGTACAGCGTGATCTTCCTGTTTCCTCCAATTCTTCAAGGCTCATTCCGTGCACCGCAACGGCCTTACAGAATAGACTTTAAACCGGCGACCGTACAAAATTGCTTATTAATAAGAAGTTGTATCATATTTGTCACGTCTTGTCCTCATGCACTACGAGTCACGTAAGTGATATAACTAAATTGACAAATCGTACGGCAAGGGTAGCGTACAGAACGCATATGAAGGTGGAGGTCTGTTTTTTTGTAGAAATCCTTGATTTTTCTAAAATTGCAAGATGTTCAAACTCTTTCCTGCGCTCTTCTACAACAACAATACGGAAGATAATTTTGCTGAACCAATTTTTACAATATTTATATTATATCATATATATATATTATATAATATTATATACTATATATATATATATATTAGATGTAGGAAGACGGCAAAATTTTATTTTTCTTATGTAACTTGCATCATTATTTTAAACGTCATTCGGAATATCCAGAAACAAAATGTAATCAAATCGATGACGCCATTTTTTTAATATTTCGAAAATAACTCAGGGGCTTCCTCTAAAGTACAACCTAAAATGAAAATACAAATTTCAAATTAATGAGGCCGTGACATCAGTCAGAACGATCGAGGAGTATCAATTTTGGAGAAAATCTCCAGAACAGTTTAGCGTTTTTCACAGATAGGCGGACCGACATGTTATTCCATCAATAGACTTTTGAATATTAAGGACTCACAAAACTTGGATTCTGACAACACTGTGTTAAAGGAGTTTGTTTCTAAATTTAGCAACTGGATTTATCTACTTTTGTGATACCAGGACCCTGTAATAAGAGTTTTTCTGCCGAAGAATCGCCGTTTTTGGGCGGAATTGTAAAACTTTTTCCACTTAAGTTCCTTCTTAAGTGCGAGAAAGTAAAAATTAGGTCTTTAAATAATGTCATTTAAATTTTTTAACCAGTAGTGTTCATGTAAATTCTGTGTACATGCAATTTATATTTTTTCTCAAAAACGATTCCAATTTTTCTTTTCTTTTTTCACAGCCGCTTAAAATGTGCAGGTCTTATTTTCGTTGAACCCTCTGAAATATCGAAATCTCAACAAGTTAGAAATCACGTGAGATAGTTTGGTGTGTAGCAGCTGTTTTGCTAGTTAGTAGCTGCTTGGCTGTCGGGGTCTGGTCAACGTTTGGCTGCGGCCTTCCTCAGGGCTAAAATGCACGCGACTCCGGCCGCGGGCGCCTACGCGCTCACCGCGAACTGCGTGCGTAGGAGGAGCTGGAGAACATTGAGCGCTGCATCTCGCTGCTGCTGGAGCACGAGGAGGCGGCGGCGGAGACGCTGCCGCGCGCCAACTGGTACGACGCCGTGGACGCGACGCTGCGGCCGCGCATCGACATCGACGCGCAGGACGAGTTCGGCGACACGGCGCTGCACGACGCCGCGCACTACGGCAACCAGCAGGTGGTGCTGGCGCTGCTGCGCAGGGGCGCCAACATCATGAAGAAGAACCAGGACGGCGACCCGCCGCTCGCCTTCATCGACGCCAAGACGATCGACCAGTTCCTCGACGAGCAGATCAAGAGCAACGGCCTGTCCCCGCTCAGCCAGGACTACCAGGTCTCTCTTTGCTTTAAACTCTTCTGCCGTCCCGTGGCATGAATGGGCGTCATGGCGGTTATACATGTCATGGTAACCATTCGTCTTCGTACCAGGGCTCCTGAGTTAGCCAGCCACCAATATTTTGAATGGCGTTAAAAGCCTAGTTCACGTATTGTAAACCAGAATATCCGAATTCTGGATATTTTTTGTATTCTTTTCTCTGAACGGAGTGATTAATTAAATCAATTAAAATGTTTAAGTACATTTGTTACCTGACAAGACCATATAATGCAAGATGTTTACAACGTGGAACATAATTCCAACATAATTGCCAATCCAATAACGTGGCAATTGCATATGACAAAATTTTGAGCTTGTAGACTTTGCTCCTATAAACACGATACTTGATATCTGCAAGTGGGCGTTACTAATTATAGGGTTTTCACTGACTGCTGAAGTCAGCCTCCTTTACAGACCAAGACAAAGTTGGGCCTTTACTAATCAGGAGAACGCAGGACGCAGAATAAGTAATGATGGTTTTGAGAAAGAAAACACGGTACAATGCATAAATAGGTTAAAATCTACTTTTCTGGTTGGAGGATTTTTGATCAATTACTTTATAGAAGCAGTAAAATAATAATGAATTAGGAATTAATAAAATGTCGATATTGACTTGTATGCATATGCTTAAGAGTATGTAAAAAGTACAGTTAATTTTGTGATAATAATTCATTTTGTACACACGTTTACTATTTATGACAGTAACGATTTTGCTAGCAAGACTGTATAGTTTGGACCTGGGCAGGATATGTAATATATACTTGTGTGATGAGAAGATGCCTGGTAGCGACAATTCGAAAGGCTGAGACGCAAGTTGTCCAAACCCACTTCAAGTTTCGGTCCACCGGTTGGGGAAATTGACAACCATATATATTTAAGTTCACATTGTACACACATGCAGTGGTAAATGTATTTCCAGTCAATGATAGACTCGTGTTAATGACACTTTTGTAGCAAAGAAAGTACCTAGTTATTCACGTTAGCATTCGTGTGTCACAGCAAAATTTAAACAAGAAAAATGCAATGTGGCAGCATTCATATAAACAGGTAATATTCATAATATACCTGCTATGTAGACTAAACTGTAATTACACGTTCGACTTGATAAAAGTAAAGTTTTGTGATGACAATGGATGACTGATGCACAGGTCGTGAAAGTAGTTAATGTGTGGCCGGCAATGGCTGATGTGGGAATGTGGGTGAAAATTTCCCTTCAGCTGCAACAGCACCAAGCAAACAGCAGACAGCATAGCGAAACGTCCGAACGTGATTGAAGAGTCGGAACAATGGGGAGGAGAGAGAGAAAGAGGAAAAAAGGAATAGTGATTCGTGCGAGGAGTACTGCTCGTGGGGAATTCAAATTGCTCCATTTCGATGCGCAAAGCAAGAATATTGGTTTCTGTTCGTGTCAGCGTTCTTTAATACAATAACGTTTATGTTTTGGAATAATAACGGAAATTACTCTATTTTATGTTTTCATTTTTGTTGCTCTGGTTATAATGTAATTTTGAAATATTTTTTGATGGTTCTTGAATTCTGTATTCTATGTCTTTTAGTATTTCAATTCGTTGCCATACAGTCATGCACTTTGGAGATTAATCTTTTGTCTAAAAATATTTCTGAGATCTTGGAGATTTTTATTTTGCAGATGTTTTATAGTTTTGGATCATAACAGGATGACCTTCCTGTAATTGCTATTGCCTTCAATAATAACTGACATTTTCTTAAATGTCAATTTTTCAAATCACATAATCGTAAATGCTTATTCTACATTTATTTGGATCCTTTTCTTGAAACCAAAATAGAACCGAGATTGTAAATAATTATACTGCTTCTATTTTATTTCCTGTACTGGTCATTGCCCTCCCATGGATAATTCCCAGTCTCAAGTTCATAAACAAGCTACCAGAAATTGTACATGTACACGAGGCTGATAATGATTCTTCTTCTTCTTCTTCTTCTTCTTCTTCTTCTTATTATTATTATTATTATTTTTACCAATATTATTATTATTACAATTAACTGTGGATATTTTTGCTTGATTGTAGGTTATCATTCGTTACACTTTCCTGGAACCTTCTACAGAGAAAGCAACTGGTCGCTCCGAAATGGATGCCTTGCACTACATCAGCCGTTCTAGAGACCTTCGGCCGTTGCTTCGTCATCCTGTCATCAACAGCTTCCTCAATCTTAAGTGGTATATGGTGCGGTGGTTCTTTTATATTAATCTCATCGTATACACACTATTTGTAACGCTAATTACAGCTTACATTCTCCTCATAAATGTTGATGATGAAGACATTACAAATTGCACAATGATTAATATCGCCAGAAAAGAGTCAAGTGCCAAGATAATGGACGTAGTTGATCCAGAAAAGAGTTCTTTGGTATTAAATTTAGAATGTAAAGAATTTGATGAAAACTGCACACAGAATCATGTGCGACAACTTAGCCTCTCCGACGTCGATAAATTACAGGTTGCTTCTCTTGTCAAAGCCGTTTTTGGAAATAAGAAAAGGTGTGTGCATCAACATGATGATCCAAAGCACTTGAGCGCGGAAGAATTTGCCGCTCATTGCCTGCGTATTCCGTGCATATACCTTCTCATTGGTTTAGTCCTTCGGGAAATAGTGCAGTGCGCGACTGGTTGGAAACGATATGCCAAAGACTGGGAGAACGTAATTGAATTCTTAATGATAATAGTTTGCGCTATTGCGTTGAGCAGCGATTGGGATGCCAGCAATTTCAAACAACATATTTCTGCCATGGCCATTTTACTGACATGGACGGAACTAGTATTTATGACGGGACGTTTGCCGTATCTGTCAGTTCAACTAGAGATGCTGAAAAAGGTGTCGTTTACTTTCTTGCGTTTTATGGCTTGGTACTCCTTGCTAGTAGTTGCCTTTGCATTAAGTTTTTACACGTTATTTCGTCGTAGTAAGGAGTACGATCCTGAAAGTAAAGAAGCTTTTTTCCTAGACCCCGGATTATCAGTGATAAAAACTATTATTATGATGGTTGGAGAATTTGAAGCTTCTGAGCTAGTTTTTGATTCAGTTCCAGGTACAAGCCATGTCGTTTTTATAATATTTGTATTTCTAATCGCCATAATTCTATTAAATCTTCTCAACGGTCTTGCAGTATATGACACGCAAGCCATTAAAGAAGATGCAGTTGTTCTGGGTTTGGTTTCAATGGTGAAACTTGTAGCATATCTTGAAATGATGCTTATTAAGATAGCAGTAGCTACACAATGTATGTACAAGGGGTTGTATAGGGAAGTACTCGAACCTCGGATAAGACTTTTCAGAACAGATTTATCCAAGAAACAAATACACGCATTTCCTAACTCGGGGGAGATAAAATTTCTACTAGATGCTGCTACTACAGCTCGATTTAAAGGGTTTAGAATGGAACGAGACATCATGGTGAAGGCAACGGATATTGTCACCGAAAAGAAGCAAGTGTCCGATATTGAACAAGTGAAACGTCGTCTCAACAAGTTTCAGATAAAGTTTGAAGAAATAGAAAGTAAGCAGTCTAAGACACATGAACTGCTAATTGAAGCTCTGGAATCTCTCTCTAAATTTCAGAAAACGGTTCGTGAAAGTACTATTTGACGGTTGGTCGCACATTCTTCGGCTCCTGCGAAGCTCTAACGCAGCTGTGATAGAGTCGGTCTTTAATAGTCGTTTTCTAAATAAACTGAATAAAATTCTATGTGTATCAGCTAAATATCAGAACTAGTTTTAGTACATGGCAACATATATAAGTGTTCTTCATAGTCTTCATTGAAGATGGTAATCCAATGTACATATGATAATAACACTTAAAATTAATTACTCGAAACGTGATTCCTGATACTGAATATTTTTTGAACTATGTATTCAAGAAGTTCGAGCATAAGCTACACTTAACATGGTCAAGAATCGTCAAGTTCAATGCACATAATACAGTAAAATAAATAATTAGTCATTTATATTAATTTATTTTGGAAGTAATTACTATGTCAATCTTCACTAGGTGTGTCATCTGAATATAGGTGTAGAATTATACTTCACCACTCCACAATGTAGAAATGAAGGGAGGTACTGAGAAACATTTTATAAAATACTTTCAAATAAGGAAAATATATTTACCAAAACCATATGATATCAATCTCAAATTTCAATCAATTCAAAAAAAGATTAAATACCATTATTTTGTTAATCGCTAACTAGTAAAAAGTAATGTATCAATTAATACTGCTTAGTGTTTCTTTATTTCATTAATAATATTAATGCATAATTTGGTTAATTTTATTGTTTGATTAAAAATACATTTAACTTACACACTACTACCTTTCAAGAACCACCAAAAGTACCAAAACAAATTAGCCAATCAGCCCCTATCTTACAAGAACTATTTAGACGAAGAACTATTTAGAAGATACTCAGGATCGATAAATATATTCCCTCTCATAAATATTTTACAAATATGATTAAGTTAATTGGTAATAGTATGTTCGAAAAATGAAGTATAACAAAAAATATCATTCATGAAAGAGATTTTTACATAATGTGAATCAGTATTTCCTTCTTCATTTACTTCCTTCTACATCTATTTTCATAACAACATTTTCATTATTCATTGTACATTTATAAACGGCAAAACATTGCTAGATAAATAAGTGATGTACAGAAAATAAATAGAAACAGCACAAAATTTTAAATATGTATGTGGCAAAATTATAATTGGAGATACAATTAAAATTAAAGGTGGCACTTCCAAAACTGAAGATAATAATGAACAGCGAAGTGGATAGATAACTTAGAAAAATATTGAATGTGAATTTATTACGAAGTGTTAATGTGCTAAGACGAAGGGAAAAGAGGAAAAGCACACACACACACCCTAAAAGTTTTCAGTCACTATCGATTTTAACTTGTCACGAAAATTTCAAGCAGAAATATTTTCGTATAATCATTCAAACGAATAAAATCATATATCAGTCTGAGCTGAGTGTAGCCAGCTACATTTTACAAAATCTGAAAATAGACACACTCGACCAAAGCATTTTTAATTTCCCCTCCCAAACTTTTCCTCTGGTTCCGCCCGTGCCTCACTCATTCTGTATATTTTTAAAGAAACTATGACCTCATTTTCTTCTTCCTAGGAACAGTCCATGGCATATGTACAAATCAGTTTCAATGAATTAAGAACTTACGATATAGTTGAATTAAAAAATGACAAGTTTTCTTACAATATCTTTACACTTTAAGAGAAATACAAAAGGAACAATGTTCAAAGAAGCATTTGTTTATTCATATCCTTCACATACGAAAGCAAAAGGAAGATATTGCAAGTCGGGTGAGCTCTTCCTAGGATTCAAGAGGAAAATCGAGTGACAAAAAATTAAAACTAGAATATGAGAATTTAGAAACATCAACTAATGGTATTTCAAAACTTTTAAAACAATTATTATTACAATTTAAATACACAAGACAGATAATATTTTAACCAACTGAATTATGATAGAGCTTACAAATATTGCTGTTCCAGACAATTTTGAAATATCTGACTTTATTTTTCTTTTAAAATAAATATTGTTTTGATACCTTTTAATAGATATTTTGTATCATTGCTAAAATAACATAATATTTTTGAATGTGTAAATAAAGGGTTTAATAAAAAAACGCAAAATATTATGGAGTGTTGTTAATTATTAAGTGGTTATGCTTTTAAAACCTTTCTAAACGACAGTTCATAAAATCACAAATGACAAATTTCCCAATACATATGTGTTATTTTCACTTAGTTTTGAAGAAAATTATTATTTAGACTTTGGAACGTCTTCAAGGGAATGGAATATATCATTCCAGCTTTCTTGCCTGGAAACGAATAAGCTAAGACTAATATAATTTGGAAAAACATAGCGTACTACAAAATTCGCAACTATACAATCTGACTTGAAAGAAAATTAGTTATTAACTAAGAGGAGAGATCATTAAAATATATTGACTATTAATTCGTAGTTATAAATCTCAGCGGAAATCCAATCAAACCAAACTGCATTTGATTTGTAGAAAGTCGATTAGAGAAGTACTCTAATAACTCACGTAACTAATTTTTAATAAATAAATCTCATTTTAGTCACTTTTGACACAGTGTTTCTACAGCGTACTCCTTATTATAGGTAAAAACAACTGATATTTACATTCTTTTATATTTTATTAGTAAGATCAAATGTTTTACATGTAAAGCATTTAATTTATTTACTTTCAATATTTTATGTTGTTCTATTAGTCAGCAGGCTTCATTCATTCGTTCTTTACATGTAGTTGTTGTAGATACATACGTAATCTGTTAAGTACATTTTTTGTTTATGTTTCTTGGCCGAATGGAAATACCTTTGCTGCGTATGTGTCTTAATTAAACGATTTTGCTCCATTCTGAATTTTAATTGGAAGACGTGGATTTTCAACTGCACGGTTGATTTTTAATTTCACGCATGCTATTTACAAAGAGATAATCAACGATTTTGCATGGAATTAATGAACATATTTAGTTAACTAAACGAAAAATGTCAATAAGAAAATGAAATATTGTTGATATAAACAATCTGCAGTCGATAAGTGTTTTGACTTCAAAATAAATCTACCACTGGACAGTCTGGGATATTACTTTCATTAATGAAATCAACTTATCTTCTTTAACCACTATCTATCACGAAAATTAGTCTTTATACGGATCAAAACAGGCCAAGAGCAATAAAAAGGATAGATATGTTCTGTGTTGCTCCACTTCCCATATCTAAATAAAATGGTGAGTGGTGTAGATTCCATGGAATCCAGGTAAGGATTATGAAATCTATAAGCCGTTAAATAAAGAGAAAGTCACGAGCCAAAGTTGGGAAAGCCGTTAGAAATATCCAGAAGATATCTCGCGTACTGTGACAAAACCAAGAGGTACTAGCTGATAAGAAGCAAATAAATATTGTTATAATTGCTTATTGCCATGCTAGCTAATAAATACTGTTTATACGAAATATCTTTTTTATTTTCACTTGCATCATTACAACTTATTTACCTACCTCACAATTATAAGTCCTTTCAAAATTACTGACGTACGCATTAATTTTACGTAAAACTGATTGTTCTTTAACTGCCTATCATATTGAAAAATTGCTAGATAAGGTAATTTCAAATGTCCCGGGTAACGTCTGCCCTCCATTTCAATTGGTAGATCGCCTTTCGACGCTTATTGGCTGGTGAGATGCAGATATAGATGCTTCTTTCTGATTCGTTGCGTCTGTCGGAGTGTGGTCGACCTTCTCCCCTCCATAAAAGTAAGGAGCTTCGGAACAACGTTGAGTGCGCCTCTGAAATATGCACTGTGATAAGCGTGAGGCAAGCTGCTGAGAGGAAACAGGGTTCCGTTCTTTTCAGTGTTCCACGATACGGTGATACCAGGGATACTTGTGGTTGTCCTACATAATGCTTTCAAGATTGAAGACTAATATAATGCAGTTCAAATGGAAAGCTCCGTTTCAAAGTCATGATGGTAAGTGCAATGCAAAACTATATGACCTCTGTCATTCCTAAAGTTTCGTTCATTGTTTTTGATACTGACTTCTCTTATTCTCTAAAACTAAAGGCAATAATTTAATGGCATCAATCGGGAACACGTTTCCTTTCAAATGTCATTCAGTTTTTTGAGTCAAAATTGTAGAATAGTTGTAAATTTCTTTAGTAAAGTTCTTCAATATTATACACGTTTTTGTTCAAATCACTTAATTTTAATACAAATTTGTAAAATGAATTGTTAGAGAAGGTTTTTATCATTTTGCTTCTGTTGATAATGTTTCTCCAATTTGAAAGTTTGATTTTTTTTTCTATTTTCGAAAAACCGGGCATACACTATTTTCTTAAACGACCTTGGCACTTTTCAATAACAAAATCTAATGAAAAAATTTGAAGCCATTTTTAAAAATTTTGAAACCGCCCCAGAGTTTGCATGTAAAATACCTCCCAATAAAAATTTAAAAAATTGTGGTTAAAGTTTAGTATACGGTACACGCTTAGAGAAGCGTGGCGGCGGAGCTTAAGCCCTAATTACTGTACGTGCTATAATAGAAATGAGTAAAACTTACGAATAGATGTTCATGGTTCGCCCTTTATATGCTTTGTCCCAGCCGCATTGTAACACCAATTCACTTTCAAAGGCAAGTTTTCTCGCTTCGCTCGTCTCAATCCAAGTCGTGGTGAGGCTCGGGCCTTCGGCCGTCGCGTTCACATTAAACATCCTTGAGTCTATCCAACGCATAATTACCAATTCACTTTTATAAAAAAGCAATCTTCAAGAAAGCTTCCCGAATTCTAACTGCCTAGTTGACGCCGGAACGGCACGAAGTGCTGGTTTAAGCTACTTCTAAAGTTGTACCGTATACATTTCAGCCAATATTGTTTTCAAACCTCAAGTGCTGCGACATCAGTTAGAACCAATGAGGAATATCAATTTTAGACAAAATTAGCTGAACGGTTTATGCGCTAGCGTTGTGCGCAGGTGGGCAGACGGACGGACAGACGAACGAACAAGCGAACAGAAAGTCGTTTTACCGTCAATCGATTTTTCGGTGTGTATGTATGATGGGCAAAATATTCTGGCTACACCACGTGTTAGAGAAATTTACTTTTATTTAACGTCTAGGTTTATCCACATTTTCCTCAACACGGCACGGCTCCAAAGTTTTTTATTAAATATTATTGTTCAAAAGAGTGAAAGACATTTAATAGAATGGTGAAGGTCTCATTTTCAATGACATTCCCGATTTTTCGGAAATTGCAAACATACATTTTAAGCTTCAAAATTGAATATAGTGTTTGTCTCGGGCAAAGTCTGTTGTAAAAAATACTCTTTAAAAAATGTCGTGCTTTCTTGAAAAGTGCTTTCCTGAAAAGTGCTTTCTTATAAAGATGAATTGGTAATTCTACGGAAGATAAACTCGAGGATGTTTATATTGAACGCGAGGACCGAAGGCCTGAGCCTCGCCGTGACTTGGATCCGGCGAGCGAAGCGAGAAAACTTGCATTTGAAAGTAAATTGGCAGTACAATGCGGCGGGGACAAAGCATATGAAGGGCGAACCATGAAAATCACTTATCCGTAAGTTTTATTCACTTTCATTAGAGCACGTACAATAACTAGGGCTTAAGCCCAAGCCCCGCCGCCACGCTTCTCTAAGAGTGTACCGTATACTAAATTTTAACCAAATAAACTAATGTTGGCATAGAATGTCACACATTCTCGCTCTAGTTATTTTTCTAATATCTGTACTCTTGACTAGCTTTTGCGACAAATCTCGTTCTTTCACGGCTGCTTTAATTTTGTCGCCCGAAAAAATATTTTTTCACATTTTATCAATTATTCGGCTCCGTAATTGGACTGAAAAGTAGAACTGAAACCACCATACACTTACTACTATTATAGAAGTATCCATCACGTGTCGTACCTGGACAGACTAGGTGGTTATTGGCAGGAAAGGTCTCGGCTCTTCGGTGAGCAGGTTCGCTGATTACTCTGTTGCCACAGAAAATTGAGAATTCCAGAAACTTTATTGAAAATAATTTTAAGCAATTCTACTCGCATTTTCAAACTTAATAATATTTTAAATAAACAGAAAGTGGCGGTATGTCATTTTCGTATTTTGAAATTTGAACAAGTTTACAATTCTCTTGTTCTATTTGTAAAATCTATGTAATATAGTGTTCAATATAATATTCAAATCAATAAAATATTGTGTATCCTTTAGTGGCAGTGCGAGATATGCGCTTTGGGAGCACCACTAGTTTAAATTGCCTGGCATCCCATTGCATGTCAGGTTCGGGCACCATCTCTTGAATATTTGTTGCACATTCTCTTGCCCCCTTATTTAGTTACATGATATCAATTATAAACAAATAATAATTAGTACTAATTTCGTTTCTGATCACTAATTACAGCTCTAATCATAATTGGCTAATTTCATCATACATTTCCGCTGAGTTTGGCGTACGTATTGTATTTTAGTATTTTAATAGGCTCTGCCCATGCGCAGGCATTACGCCCTGAGGAAGATCGCAGAATGGCGACCGAAACGTCGGCACCTTCGCCATGGACGCGGCGTCACCCGGACAGCCTATTAAATACTGACTCCGGCCGCGGAAGCCTACGCTCTCACTGGATTGGATTTTGTCCTCTTGATTTCACTCTCATACTTGGTCACAACGTTTTCTACTATGGATTTATAAATTTGAATTTCATTATTTTTTTTCTTTTTGTTACTCCGTAGAAATAAAGTAGGCAGCCTTTTAATATTGACTGCTATTTAGTTTCCCACTTAATATTTCGCCTTGACAGCCAACGTCGACTAACATTTTCACTCTCAGGGTGTTTTGTAATATATATTCTTTCAAGCCACACTTCGTTTTTTCTGCGGTTTTTTTCTCTAGCTCGTGGTGTTAATGCGTAAATAGCTTGCACTGAATGCTGAAAAGCAATGCATTTGTGTTTCAGAAAGCGCCGAGGTCATGGAAATGCTTACAGAAGTGACAGAAGACGTCCCGACTGCGAAAAAACGATGGTTAAACGAGAAAGCCCAGAAGCAACTCCTAGAAACTCTTCGGAACGATGATTTTGAAGCATTCACTCGTCTTTTGAAGAAAGATGTAAATGTTGACCACGTATATGAAAATCAGGTATATGCCATTAACCAACGGAATATTACCAAACTGTTATTGTTTACTAATCGTTTTCGTTAGTTCCTCTTAAACAGGAGTAATTATTAGCATCTGCACTACTATAAAAGATATTATTGTATATTTCTATCTAGATCTTGAATTTCATGGTGAGGATCTAAATTAAGACTTTGAACTTTTACGAGATTTTTTTTCAATAAAAATACCTGTGGAATACTTTTAGAAAGAACATTAATAATCCAAGATGTGTTCAAAATTACGAAACAGCCATACTATGCAGAGTCAGAAAAGGGGACGTGGCTCATGCGCAAAACGACATTTAAAAAAGAACTAAAAGGACTTCCAGACGTCCAAGAAAAATGTTGATAGATTATAATTTAAAGTCCATTAACGTAAGCGAATATATTACGAAAAAATCAATTTAATGACATGTTTCATCCCCCTACCCAAAATCTTCACATCAATAATAATTAATAATTTGTAGCTAATAACAAATTTCTCAAATCGTATATTTATTATAACTAAGATAATTACAAAAAAATCTCCAATTTAAATGTTCAACTATTTGGTAATATTAACGTTGTATATCTTGTCATTTACGACTTCGTCAAATAGCACACCCTTCTGATAGAAGCATGTGGCAAGGAAGAACGTGGGAAAGAAGCACGTGGGAAAGAAGAACATGGGAAAGGACCAGAGAAATACGTAAAAGCGTTGCTAGCTGCTAATGCCGATCCCAATTTACGTGACAACGAGGGACGAACTGCCCTGCATTGGGCAGCTGCTGAGGTATGTAAACAGTGGTGTGTCAAAGGCGGGGGGAGGGGACACGGAATCCATGCATCCTTTTCCACACACTCGGCAAATGTCATTTATACTCTTACGCATTTTATTCAAGGCCGTTCTGTATAGGTGAGATCGTTATGGCAGTTGTGCCGTAGCGGTCTCGGACCGAAAGATCGCGGGTTAGAGTTCCGTCTAAAGTCATAGTTGTATTCGTATTCGTATAAGAAATATCTTTGCTTTTAATATTATACGCGCATGTTTTCTTGAGCTCCGAAATACCTACCTCTACTCCTTTTCCAACATCAGTTGAATTAAGAATAAATATTTGCAACGAGCGTTGTAGGCAAAAATCTGAAAACCAGAAATGTTCGCTCCCTAGTAATAGAAACTATTTTCCTTCAAAAATTGAACAACAAATTTGCTGCAAATTATTTTTTGTGAAAAAATCCAAACTCCAGACTCCTCTCGCAACTAGCGAAGCGAGGGCTCAAGGAAACGTGTTAGATTAATACGTAAGAGCGCCTCGACATCTTAAATTTCAAGTCGATACAATTGTTGCTTCAGATGCGACAGTTAAAAGGCCAAGCTTTTTATCGTAAGAACATATTAGAAACAGTTTACTGCAATCAAAATTTTAGAGCATGTCGTCGAGGAAAACTTGTCATCTACTACTGTTGTTACAAAAACAAGCAACGGAATGATAACGGCTGAATTGCGCAAAAGCAAATATATATATTATAATATAATACCCAAAGACGGTCTTCCATTCAATGCAGAAGATTTCCGTAAAATAATGATAATCTACGTCTATCTAACCTTGCAAAGAGATGTTTTTTTGCCAAATTCTAGAAATGGGAAGTACACTACGAAAGTTGGGGTATATGCACAAAAGGGGGCATTCAATAATATAGCAGAATTTTGAATGCTTGACTCTTGACCTCTAATTAAAGTACTGGCTTCAACCATCATTGCCTGCAATGCTAGTCGTAAAGGGTAGCGATGTGCTGTCGTTGAAAGAACTTGGAAGTTGGGAGTCCGTGCTAGAAGTAGAAAATATATTAAACAATCGGTATATAAATTAAAATTTCTCAATTATTCAGTACCAATGAGTTTTGAATCAACGTAAAGAGATTCAAGCATACCGGCGTCAGCACTTTCGACTTCTTATAAAGAGTAGAAATTATATATAATAACAGTTGTTCATTCAATATTCGGATTTACTTTAATGATCGATTATGAGTTAAAAATAGGAATTCTATGAATGAACATTTGAAAATTACTTTTGTAGTATTATGTTGTGTATGTTACTTATGTTGTCATGTTTCCAAAATTCAATAAATAATTTGAAGATCACTTGGCTGCTTAACGGTTAGCGGCCATTGAAATTACCGTTCATTCCTCTGTGGGGTTGCGTTCAGTATTTATATAAAAGAACATTGTTACGAAAAAATGTACGTTTTAAGTATACCTTTGAGGAACGTGGAGAAATTGTTCATTGATTGAACATCTTTTCTTTCTTATTTAAGGTCGCATCAACATCTTGTCGTTGGCGACTACTATTGCATTTAACGGTGTGGTAACTGTGAAAATGACATGATGACGGGGGGCAAAAGGACGAACACAAATACAACCATGCCTGAGGCTGGACTCTAACCTGGGATACTTCGATCCGAAATCACTACAACACTACTTCTTGTACAATCTCGGCCATCCGGACCGGCGATCTCTTTGTTAGATAGTTTATGGTTGTTCCGAAGACAATTGAAGTAGACATCTTGATGTCTGAGCATTGTAAGATTCCATGAGTGAAACGTGATGAACCCTAGCTTATATCCTCTTCAAGTTTCTTGATCTGACATTGATTGTATCTACTAATGGCGTTTTAACAACGCACACAAATTGTTATTACAGAGTAACGACAAGTGTATGCAGCTTCTTCTCGAAGATTCACGCACAAACGCCAACGTACGCAGCTATCTGGAGTACACTCCCCTGCACTGTGCAACGTTGGCTTTCTGGGACAGCGCACATGCAGGCTCGCACGCGCGGTGCATCCAGATGCTCATGGAGCGGAGAGATCTGGAAGTGAACCGTCCTGACAAGTTTGGCGACCCTGCCATATGGAACGCACTACAACACCCAGAAGCTGATGCTGCGCAAATTCTCAAGGTAAGCCAGGCACAGATCAGAGGGATATTCTCGCAGTGGTCAGTGACACCTTCCATCTCGTAGTACTCTCTCTTTCCTTCTCCCTCTCCTCTTTCCCTATCCGTGATAGTTAAAGAAAATTGCCTCGTACTTGCGAGGAAGAATGCTCGTGTAATCTCATTCTATTCGTCTGAATAACGTTTTCAGAATTCTCTCTGCCGCGACTACAACGTCAAAACGTTTGACCAAACTTATGCCAGCTCCCATAATTTTAATAACTATATTATAAATGTTATATTTCTATGTAAGCAAATAAATATGTTAACACGCGTTTAGAAATTACACGCAAAATATACAAAATAATTTGAATTTAATTTTGGAATTAAAACAAATGGGAATTATTAACTTATGAAAAAATTGAGAGCTAAATAAGATTAAGAGATTACTAAAATTGTTGGATTTTCACAATGTTAAAAAAAGTAGAAGTTTGAATAATGTTTATATGTTATCATATAATATTACTTAATATGTTAATTCTTAATATGACAATACTCGTTTTTTGCCATTGTACATTTTATTAAGTTATATCCAACCCATTTTGCTATATTGGAACTACACTTTAACGATAACATTCGGAACGGTTCTTGATAATTTTAGAAAACATCTCAGGGTTTGCATGTAAAGTAACTCAAAAATTACAATAATCTGTAGACTTGCACAGAACCATAAGTAGAACCATATGCATAGAGAAATCAGTCAATTGTATATAATTTCAATATACAATTACTAAAATATTTAATTGGCAAGTACATTGAAATTGATGCCACACAATTACTAAATAACGGACGCTAATATGCATGTGTCAAAAATTACGCTGTAAGGGTTGCAGTATTGTGTTCAACGTTACCAAGAAGTTACACGCTTTCAGTAGCAAGCCTGACTTGGAAGCCCTAGGGTTTGATTCCCGATGGTGTCAGTTTTGACGCTGACTAGATAGCTATGTCGAATTCACTTATTGTTTAGAAGAGAATTCTAGTATCTGGCTGCTCTCATACATAGTTTTCAGTGTTTTGATTGATCAAGATCAGGGAAATTCAGGAGCAATTCTCTAATAAACGAGCTACAAACCAGTTGGAGTGTCGAATTTAGAATAGAAGCCATTAATTTGTGGAAAAGATTTAGCAAGCTCAGGAATGAGCGGTAAGCAAGGTAGTGAGATAGGGTAGCAGGAGAGAAGAATTGCGTTATAACATCGGTTATGTGGGTTTTAGACTGACACTAACTCGATATCAACAGAATGTAGAGTGTAAATATATATTTTCTTACCCCAGTAATATTAATTTACTTAAGAGTTCAGATTAATAGTAGATTAAATCGATTAATTGTATATTCAATTTAACGGATCATCCTGCAGTACATAAATTAACTCGCTGTAATATCCAATGTAATATGGGTAAAACGAACTATTAATCGTAAAAGCATAAGTTAGAACTATAACATGTTAGAAAGGTGAACAGCAAATAATTATTAGAGCTCGTCTTCGTAACGAGAAAATAACTAAAACACCATTTTCAATATAATATTTGAAATATGTTTTATTTAGTCTCAAAAGACAATTTCAAATATTTACTTAATTGAATTATATTAATGATCATGCCACAGAAAAATTAAGTATGCATTCAAATTCGTTCAACGCTCTATCAGGAGCTAAGAGACGCGTTGCGTCGTTATAAGAATAATTAATGATAATGTCGCAACAAATTAAAAAAATGTTAGATGCCAATTCTCTTCTGAGAACTGCAATGATAACCGTTTCGATATGTGCAGGTGATCCTGAAGTGTAAACATAGTCGCCTGAACGTTGATGTGTGGCATGTGAGAAACGGCAGCACAATTCGAAAAGTGATAGAGACGAAGTTCCCGAAGCTCAAGGATTTATTACCGCGACTGTCAGAATGCGAAACAGGATCGGGTCGGATTATGCAAATGCTGCTGCAACCAAATCCGAATCTTGAAGAGTTTAGCTCCGCTTTACCTGAGGATATTGACAAACGGTAAGATAAAATACTTTTCTATCACTACGATATTTTACCTTGCCCCATCGGTATTCATATTTTTTGTGGTATTTAATATGTGTATATATATTTTTTTCTAAAAGAAATATTAACACTGATATAAAGAAGCGCCCAATTTACATAATTCAAGTACTTTTCATTTTCCCGTATACTAAAGAATATACGGAGTAAAATCTATTCACATTTCAAACAGCTGCAACTCCGTTTCCACAAAGTAAGTATGAGTGTGTTAGTGACAACTGTGATTTATTTTTGAGGAACATAGTCATGCAGAATGATGAGTTTTGAATTGAATGAAAGTTGAAATGTAAATACTACACACACTCATTTTTAAGGCCGACTTCTATTAGAAAGACTACTCATTCTTCAATGTTGTTATTAAAAAATAGATTTTTACATGTTTATTAGTGAATACTCTGATGTTAATTATTTTCTTGCAAGATAAGTTTATTTGTTTATTTTCACATTCAGGTTCGAGGACCCATATTACTGCACTCCTTTGGAGCTTGCATGTCGCAGAAAAGACTTACAAGGATTTGTTAAAGTTTTGCTTGATGCCAAAGCAAATCCTGAACAATCCACCGAAATATATGACTTTCCGGTCCTGCATCAAGCAATGGCTAACGGCAACTTCGATGCGTTAAAAACAATGATATCCTATAACGTGGATTTTGGCATAAAGACCTCAAGTCAACATACTGTGCTCCACATTGCAGCACATAGGCAGTGCACTACTCGGGTAAATATTCGCAGTCACATTTTTGGTGGGGATAGTGCAAACGGTTCTCTATGAAATTACATTAACAAGAGTTAGCTTTATTGCTTTACATTTTTAAAAATTACGTAAATTTAAGTTTTTGGATTGTTTCTCACATTGTTAATATTTTCATTAGACTTTGGTTAGAATATGAGTACACGTACTTTAGATAATGATAAAGTTTCTCAAAAACTCAACGGTTTTTGATAAAAACTAGCTCAAAATTCTACAGATTCAAACTCCATTTTATCGAATACTGCTAGAACTTGTTCCTTCAATTTTTTAAAAGGTAGTACTAATTCCACTCTTTAATACTACATAAATATCATTTTGGGGATTATTTTATTATTTTAAAAGTAGCACAGATAGAATTTTTAAAGATCTCACGCAATTAGTATGAACATTTCAAGCAATTTGCATACACTATCGTATTTGTGAGTTGAAGTGCATAAAATGACTTATAATAAAGTTTTCCAAAAACTCAATGTTATATAGAAAAGACCTTCAAATTTCGAATTTACTGGTCACCTTAAATTCAAGGACCTTGCTACGTGAACTATTTACTGTCTTAAAACACTGGAACAGACTGGAAATAAAAATATAGTTATTTGTCCGAAAGTGTTCGTCAGGTGTCGTAGAGTTATAGAAAAAAAAATCATTTTTACCATTTCCCTTCCTTTACATCACTTTGACTTTAAATAAACTTTAAACTAAACTAAATGCAAAGAATTTGCAGTCATTTCCAGTGTTAATTTGTATATAATTTTGTAGCACGCAGTCCTATTTTGACATTGGAAAGTAGTTAGAAATTGTTTTGATGTTTCATATCGTGTTCGAACCGTGCAGGAGGAGGAGCTGGAGATGGAGAAGTGCGTGAACCTGGTGCTGGGGCGCGAGGACGACAAAAGCAGTGGCGGCGGGCAGCGGGACGAGGCGGCGGTGGCGGTGGCGGCGGCGGCGGACGCCCGCCCGCTGGTGGACGTGCACGCGCGGGACGGGGACGGCGACACGGCTCTGCACGACGCGGCGCAGTACGGCCAGCAGCACGTGGCGCTGCCCCTGCTGCGCAGCGGCGCCAACGTGCTGCTGCGCAACGACGACCAGCGCACGCCGCTCGACCTGCTCGACCCCGCCACGCTGCGCGTCTTCCTCGACGAGCACGTGCGGGGCAGCGGCCGGCCGCGCAGCGACGACTACCAGGTGGGCTCCCTCGCCACTGCAATGGCTCATCGTTTCGCCTTTTGCCTCGAAAAATGGATCTTTCCAGCAGCGGGAAGTACATTTCTTAGCGCGTGAGCCCCGTTCACGAATTAACTGAAAAGATTCATTTTATAATGCGGAAGATGTAACAATGAGCTAATGACATCGGCCATTACAGAAAAATCTAAGTATAGTTTGAAGCATAGGATGATCCTACATTTGAGCCTCGACGCATGGGCAAACTATGTAACGTTACATTACTTGCAGCGGAGTTCTTTACTCCGTGCGTGTCAAGGTCGCGCGCAAGGTAACTACTTTATTCTGTGCGTATACTCCGATCAAACAGGAATTTTTCTTAACGTCAAACAGGTATTGAATCGCGAGCTTCGTAACGACTTAAATTTTGGTATTGACGTTATCGATTGAATGAGAGCGCCCCCCTCTTTTCAGCTCTTGTCATTTACTCCAGGGAATTAAAGGTCCAAGACTTGGCGGTCTCTGCAACCAGAGCAACTGCACGTGATTTAAACGAAAGGACTGAACAAAACTAATGTTGGCGGGGCGCCATTGGTTACCTGCCTCGTGACATTTGTTCGGACAAGGCTTTGGAGACGCAGTAGATGCCCCCAACGTGATATTAATTTAATTATCGTTTTCTGTACCAAATAGACGATTCATTAAAATGAAATACTTCAGTTTTATTCGAAATTGTGGATTGAGAAAAACATTAAACATTCGAACAGAAAGGTTACTTCATAATTGGGTTTACTTAAGAGGGAAAAACTTGCATTAACGTAATACCTTCCACTGAAGCGATAAGAAACTCACCGGGGTGTTCTAATTAGTGGCATCATTCATTAGGAAGATGAAAATTACTTCCCTTTACAGCAATAGGATCTAGGTGTGGCGACGTACGTCTGGCGAAATACATTCAGCACTAAGTACTACGTCGCAACTTTTCTAAAATGATTTTCTAATAACATGGCATAACTTCATTCTCACTGTGGGCTAATTCGGAGGACTTGTGTTCGAGTCTCGGTCCAGAAATTTCGATGATTCGAAATTTCGATTTTTGCAGGATTAAGTAGTAAAATTGTGTGGTGCGGATACAATTAATGCAAGAAGTTTGTGCTATTGTAGCATAATTACTCTCTCTTTAACACCATAACTATACTAGTACAGAATATTGTAGTTAATCGCTCATGATTGCAATACGCTGATGTTTTATCACGAGTAATTACGGACATCCTGAATATATAATTGTCTAATTTAATTATTAAAATTCTTCATTATCTACACGGCCTGCAGATTCTAGTGAAACTGACAAAAGCATGCTTCCGAACTGCGCACTTGCAAGAAATTAATTTGTAATTCTTTTAGCTGCTAAAAGTTAGTTACATTGATGGCAGGAAGTCTTGGAAATATGATTTATCTTGACTTAAGTCCAATACGTTGTTTTACCCTAATGAAATGTTAATAATAATTTGTGCATTTCAGGAGTTTCATTAATTTCCATATTGGGCTTGGTTCTAGTTTAGGGCGTATTGTTACGTCGCGGTTTACATTTCGTTAACAAGTGGTTAAAATTTCTTTCTCTCTCTTACATTATATACTGGTTTACACCTTTTGTATATACGTATTTTTTTTCTTACAGATAACAATGCGATACAAGTTTTTGGTGTCTCAAGATAAGAACATCCCAGAAATAGAAACCGCATATCACATTAGTCGCTCGCGTCATCTGCGTGAGCTACTTCAGCACCCCGTTATTAGAAGTTTTCTTGATTTGAAGTGGCACATAATACGTTGGATTTTTTACATAAACGTAATAGTTTATTTACTTTTTGTTTTACTATTCACTACATATGTTCTAATTATTAACGAAGACTATGATACTACGAGCTGCGCAATTGTAAATGACGAATTTGAAGGAAGCATTCCTGATTCCAAGTTAATTGAAGATATTTCAGTAGTTTCCTCAAAATGTGAAATGCCGACGAATTACTGCTCCTGGAACTCCACTCATATATGTACTATCGATGTGGATGTTCGTATTGACAAGTCAATGCTCGTTTTGCGAATATTGTGCATTTTCTTTTTAGCTGCACTGTCACTGATTGAAATAATGCAATTCGTAACTGGTCCTCTACGTTATGTCACCGATTCTGAAAATTTTATTGAAATACTGACAATTATTGTTTGCTCATGTGCCATAAGTTGTGACTTCAATACCAGTAACTTAAAGCAACACATTTCTGCCATTGCCATTCTTATTACATGGTTAGAACTTGTGTTACTAACGGGGCGCCTGCCTGCTCTCTCTATTCAGTTAGAAGTGCTAAAGAAAGTCTCGTTCACATTCTTGCGCTTTATGGCTTGGTACTCTCTCCTTGTCATCGCTTTTGTCTTTAGTTTTTACATCCTCTTCCGACAAAGAGGGGGAAATGAAGAAGAATTTTTTGAAAACCCAGCAATGACTGTATTAAGAACTGTTGCAATGATGATCGGAGAATTGGAAGCTTCAAGTCTGAAATTTGATAAAGTACAAATTACAAGCCACGTGATATTTTTGGTGTTCGTATTCCTTATTATCATCATATTGATGAATGTATTAAGTGGTCTCGCAGTATCCGATACACAAGCCATTGTAGATGACGCAAAAGTTCAAAGATTAGTTTCCCTGGTAAAGCTCATATCATATTGTGAGAGGATAGTGAGGCGGTTATGCTTAGGTAGAGATTTCTGTCAAAAATACATTCAGCCAATGTTTATAGTATTTCCATCAAACGCTCACGGTAAGAAAGTTTATTTCAATAAAGATGGAAACGTAACATTTCCTCATTTACATAAGGAATCTAAACAGAAATATAATGATGACTTTTCAATAGAGGAAGATATTGTCGAAAATGCTATTGCAATTCTTTCAGATAAAAATCAAGCGACTGACATGGATCTGGTGATGAACCTTCTAAATACTTTAACAGAAGAAATAGGAAAATGTCAAAAGGGGAGGGAGGAAAGAAAATGAGTAAAGATTAGTAGAGATAATATAATAAGAATAGTATTGGAGTTGATACATTTTTACAAACAAAATGAGACAAATAATCATTATTTAATGCATGTTACACATAAATAATATTCAGATCAATAATTGATCCATCGCACTCCTCTTGGCCCCGGCATGCGCGCCGTACCCTTCGTTTTCATCGAAAGTGCCCCCCTCCCCGTCAAAGACGAATTTTAAACTTTGACTATTACTCAAAGCCAAATTGTGCTCTTTTAATATTTAACGTGCTTTTTGTAAAGTGTGTGCTTTCAGAGAACAGTGAGGGCTTTCTAACAATGCTCGTTTACTTTGCCCGATTTCTTAGTTTTCGAAATACAGGCGAAAACAGTGTGTGGTCACTTTTTGTTAACGGGTAAGAAAGGGAGATTGGAGGTTTTTAAATTAATGGAAAGTTACCCGACTTTTCTTTTGAAGGTCAAATTTTTAAAATTTTACTAAAAATGGAATAGAATTGAGATATATAAAAAAGAAAACTAGATTTATAAGTTTCTGTAAATATTTTAACTTTAATTAGACTTTGTTATAAATATAGAACAAGCTTCAAAAATTACTTGGATATGTGTGAATTAAGATATACATAATTTTTACTGATAAATTGTATTTAGCATCAAATTGAGAGTACAAGCTCAGATCTTTCCATATTTTTGTCAACTTATTACTCCAAGTAAAATTAAAAATCAAAATATATTGTACTTACTAATAAATTTTAAAGTTACCACCTGATTAAAATAAAAAATATAATGTAAATTTTGTAATTATAAATATTTTCTAATGAAAATGTTGTTTCTTCATTTATCCTTTTCCAAATTCCTTTCAAAATAAAAACATTTGATTGTTATTAAAACTTAGTCTTATTCCTTGAGACCTTTTTACTAAGGCGAAAGAGAAATTTAAATCTATATTAACGCTTGGATTAAATGTTGAGTACTGATTAATGTTTTTAAAAAAGTTTATACAAATATTATTGGTATCATAATTAAATAAATTAGCGTACACAAATTCAAAATCTCTAGTGCAGGAACAATGTAACACATAGCTGCTTCTTTGATAATGGCAACTTAATTTTGACTTTAACCAATACAGTCGTGAGCACTAGTATAGAGATGAGCGCAGCAACTGTAAAGGGGCTAATAAGATTATCAAACGAGAGGTCCTCTGCATGAAATGTGTCGTGTGTCTTTAGTTTGAAATCCTAGAATATGAATTGAATGTGCTCCCGCTGTGAACGTAGGTACTACAATAGTTAGTGGCGTGCCCCAAGTGTCGTCTGTGCGTGGAAACGTTGATTCTTTAGCAAAGGTGTGTCCAGTTATTAAGGAATTAAGTCAATGCGTCTGTTGTATTTGCAATCTGCAATGCGTGGTGTAGCCAGGTTTATAATTTATATGATGGACATGGAGTACCCATCACTTATTTGAGCAACTTATTTTTACGCATTGCTGTAATGTTAATATTGAATTTTCGAACATTTTTTGCCTTGTGATATGAATATATACATTGAGAAATATTTTGCACAGTGATGGGAACTGTGACCATAAATTTGTATATGCCCATTACTGTCTTAATGAAGGTGATGGGGTTAAATGTTATTACTAGGGGACGGATTTGGATGACATAAAACATCGCCAAAAATGATCAATAAAATGTTTTTAAAATGCCCTAAACGTAAAGGAAAACCATTCCAGATTATTAAATTACTGATTTTGAGGTATGAAGACGCTCTGAAGACGACGTTCTCACAGTGAACAATTAAATCTGTTGTGTATATTTTTGATGTAATTACAACTTCCTTTTGTTCAAGTGAATTGATAGCAAATTTTTCGTTTGTAATATTCTTTTCTAAGAAATTACTCTTTTCGGAGATGGTTACATAAGTCACTCTACTTTTTAGACGAGTGATGTCCTGAATTATAATTTTAATAGCACTGTGTACGAATGCTACAAGAATTCTCCGTCCAGCAGATGCCAGGTGTGTTTCGACCAATCAAGAGAGCGTAGAAGAAAGAAGTGCAAACATGGCTTCGAAAACATCCTTCTGAGGCTCTCTCTAGAAAAGACTTTGCTCCGGTTTTGGAGAAGGTACTGTGCGCAATAAAGTCAAGAACTTTGTGAAATGTTTTAGAGCTTGAAGTCTTGTTCCCTGGATCCCTGAGAAAATTGATTTCATTAAATATCTTGGGTGGATGTACAATTACATAACATCAAATGAGGATAATGAAAACACACACAGAACAAAGCATTGACATTTGAAACAATTCTCCGATATTGGAGAAAAAAAGAGTATAAAAGTTTAATAACATTAAGCAGAAACACCATCTAGAGGAAACAAGCATCCGGGCTAACCTCAGGAAAACAAACATCAAGTCTCCACCAAGGATGTCATATTCATCCATCGTAGGTTTAAACACACTTATAGGAGGTGAAAGAAATAACGACGTTGGTCAGGTAAGCATTTCTACAGGCATTTGTAAGATGGATAGAGGCAGCAGCAAACCTCGTTCCTCCAGAAGTCCAGGGAAGTATTTTCTTCAAGGCATATTTCAGAGTGGAAATATATTCAATTTTAAGAACTGCAGTGTGTTCTTCCAATTATGTCAAAAGTCGTTTCACAAATCATGCATCTCCTCAGAAGATTCTGTAAAGTGATTCAGACGACGTAAAAAAATTGGTAAAATATTTAGACTTACTGAACGGCTGAAGCATAATAAACCACCTGTAACAAGCCAATTGCGTTTGACAATGCTATTTTACTTTGTTAGGCTTTTCGCAATCCATTTTTCTGAGTGCCCATCACTACATTTTCTGCCTTATTTTAGTTTCACATTTTATAAAATGTGAAGTACAGTGTTCAATTATTTAGCTTACTTGCTTACTAAGTAGTAATTCATTTGCGTACTACGAATTTGAACAATTAATACGTAAACAATTATACATTCCATAAGACATATTGTTTGCCCATAAAGAGCTCGTGACTGCGTGCTCTACCCTATATTATTAACACAAGTTCTTGTTTTTCCTTGTTTATATACTTTTCATTGTACTTTACTTGGTCACTGTTTCGCGACAAAGGAAGGTACCTAGCGTTGCGTCGAAGGCCGCCCGGTCGAATTCGTCGGCGTTTTCCTTTTTGGTTTCGACGTAGCAAAGGTTTCTTCGACGCAGCGTATCCTGCGGGGCCTCCCGGCCGCCGCCAGCCTCGCCCTGGCGAGTGGAGCGCGCAGGACGCACTGCCGCGAAGTGGCAGATGGACGCTATTCTCGATCAAGAGTTACTGCGAAAGTAATCTGAAAATCGAGCAATTCGCGGCTCAGGTTAACACTCTAAGAACTTTGGGCTTTTAATCACAAACTGCGGTCATCAGAGAATTGGCGTATTCGAGGATTACCCGTGGCTAATAGATTACAGTAAATACGATTGGCTATAGAGGAGGACTGTCCAAGTCGCCAGGTGTACAAATCCCTACAGGATGTCGGTACATTCCTGTCTATTTGGCACATGACAGTCTTTTCAAGACGTCTGTTGATAGTTATTGCTCCAAATTTAGCTACGCTAATTCCCGTTTCCTCTACTAAACCAAAGAAGTAGTACATTAAAATGTAATAATACATCAGTCAGATTTTCAATTGTCAATTGAAAGATAAATTAAACATTTTGAATCGAAAGTACCTTAATTTCAAGTTGTTGGCGATGATAACTCATATTTTATTTTATTGCACGAATGTATATTTTGAAAACGAGCGGCGTTAGGAGCGAGTTTTCAAATGTGTACGAATGCAATAAAGCAACATTATAAACGAGTTGCACATGCTATTTTTGTATAATAGCATTATAAGGAAATCGAACTTATGCGAAACACATTTCTTGTGACGCCTCGAATATTTGACAACATGACACATTTGGCGATAAAATTGTCGTCTGTTCCGTTTACTTTTACCTCTCCACAATTCTCTCGCTGATTGGCTGACCTTGTGATGATGCAATCATTCGTGATGTAAAATGCTAATGCATTATTTGAGCCGTGAAATGCCCGATTATAAACAATTTTGTGCCAGAGAAAAAGTCGTTTATAATGCTGATAAAAAAGCATGCAAAAAATTGTTTAAACAACAGGAGTGATAATAAATTTCATGTTCATACCGACGAAAGAAGCTACAACACAACACTGTGCACTGTTAATTGAAGAAAAGAGTGACTGCACTCATCCTCCCAACGATACTTACTACTGCATGCGATTACGATTTGGAATACGTAAATGCAGTTAATACGACTCAAAGTACGTGGGTTTCATTTTACCTACACCTTGTAAGTTTTGTGTTTAATTTCATTTAAATAATTGAGATTTCTAGGCATTTAGATCTATTTCTACCTACAATTTTAGTAATTTTCAAAACAATTTTATTTGATCTCTTTTGAGATGATTTCACATATAATTTCGATAAATTTGGTAGTTTGTGTTCTGGAGAAGCGCTGCACGCAAACATTTTTTCAGTAGTTTTTAGTGCAATTAATAAAATAATTACACCCCAATGGAAGCCAACACTATTTTTTAAATAAAAATAAATTCATATGTCATGGAGAATCCAATTTAAAGTAGGAGCTGTACAATTTTTAGAATAAAATGTATATAACAAAACGATATGACAAACCATGTTTATTAATAAAACAATAACATCAGCATTTTTGAGGCTGCGAAATATTGCTTAGATGACCAGGAGAGCATTAAAAAACTGCGACGAGACGTTTTGTGCATCGTCTTCTGTGTTCTCCTTAGACGAGAGAATTCTGAATAAAGCGACACGTATAATTGACAAAGATTATTCCTTTGCCGTGAGAATCAATGAGTATTGACAAGATTGTCATGGCTACTTCTGACTAGGCGGAAACAAACGTTCTTGTTACGAATTTCACGTCATTCATGCTGTCTACTTGTTCGCTCCGCGTGTGAGAGCGCTTGTTCAAAG